AAGTGCTAGCCAGTTGTGCATAAGTACAAATACGCAGATTTGTACACCCTTGTGATGACACTGAATTGGTGAAGTGAAAAAAAAAAAGCGATTCTGCAGCGTACACGTTTTAGAAAAACGCATTTGTGTGAAACATCGTTGCCCGTGATCTGTGGCCATTCCGTTGGCCATTTTCTACGCCATTTTTATTTACAGCTTCATTTGCAGCTTCATTTCAGTTATTTTTTCTACCCGTGATTTCCCCCCTTTGGCTATTTTTTTGCCCACGCAATTGTGGTCCAGTTCTCCCCTGCGATTTTTTGTTTCCCTCCATTCAGTCGTTTCCCCTTCTTTCATATACTTCCTTCTCATTGTACGCTTTGTCCGTACCACTTTGCTTTCCCTTTTCGCTTCGCTGTCCTTCTCACCCCCCTTCCCCTTCGGCATTACGCTTTTGTGTTCCCCATAAATTCAACCACTTGGTCTTTACCAAAATTATGTGCATATACATGCATGAAATCCTGTTTTCCTTCTCCTTTCCCGTCTGTGTAATTTTTTTCTTACTTTGTTCCTTTCCCCGTGGCTAACACAACGCACCCCAGAGCAAACCGGTCAAAAAATATGTACATATATAGTACGCTCACATGTATACGCACATATGTGCGCACATACATAAACGTGTAAATATACTTGCCGACGCTTTGTAAACGCCTCCCCTCACATGTTCATACGTACACGCGCGTGACAGACGGTGATTGGGCAAACAATTCCCAGTAGAAAACGAAAATATAGTACGTAAAAAGTGAAACACCATCGTACCGCTTTTTTTCGTTTTTTTTTTTCCTCCTACATACCCCTCACCTTTTTGAAATTATTACCACCGCGTGTGTATAAATATACCCGCGTCGTTGTGTACACGTTGGCACTTTCTATAAACATCTCCCCATTTTTTGTTCATTAAAAAAAAAAAAAAAAAAACGCCAATGCGTACTTATCTGTCGTGTCGTTATTGTAGGTAATTATACTCAGAAACGTGCGCACGTGCATTCACCTAGAGTAAGAGAAACACAATGAATTCCACATCGAGAAGTTCAAAGGAGTTACTCCGTCTGCAGAAGGTAATTGAGAAATTGGGAGAGTGCAAAAACTATGAGCGCAAGTGAGCTTCTTGGGGACTGTGCAGGAATTCACACCGTTCCCATGTCTGCATGGAGACCCACCTTGTGAGTGTTTATTTGAGTACGCTGTCAGGGAGAGTATGCGTGTCTGGGATTGCTTCCACAAAAATGACTTCCACATTCTGGTGTATTAGGAAGGCAAAAAAAAAGATCGAAAAAATGGCAATAACACATGAGGAGTTTCTCGCATTCGTCTCATTCTTCCCCCCTACATAACCTTATTAGGAGCTAAAAGACATTGAAAATGAAAATGTGCAAGAAATAGATGCCCACGTGAAGGACTCCAACATTTCGGAGTGGGTTGGTTTTATCAAGGGACCATCCGGGACGCCCTATGAAGATGGGCATTTTATCTTGGACATAACTATACCGAATGATTACCCGTATAACCCGCCCAAGGTGAGCACACCACGCAGCGCTATCACGATCACGTGAGGTAGATCAGTTCGACAAGGTCACCTGTGCAGCTCCGTGTCTATATTTACCCCGTTTATTTGTGCCTTCCTACATGTGCAGTTGTATCTTCTCCCCTTCTTCTCCCCTCGATGCAGATAAAATTTAATACCAAAATATGGCACCCCAACATTTCAAGCCAAACAGGGGCAATCTGCCTGGACGTCTTAAAAAACGAATGGAGTCCGGCATTGACGATTAGAACTGCGCTTTTGTCGATTCAGGCGCTGCTGTCTGATCCGCAACCAGGTGAGAATTTGCCACAGTTATTCTGTGGGTATACGTATATAAAGCACGTATCCGCACAGTGGTCCCGATTTTTGAGCATTTAAAGGAGGAAAATATTGTTCTATTTTTTTTGGAAATTTCAAATCATGTTAGAGTTTGCCACATGAGACATATATTTAAATAGAGAAACAAATACATTTACGTGCGTCGATTGTGCATATACAAGTTTTTCTCCTAACTCTGTGAAATCCCCCCTCTACACCCTCCCCTTTTTCTTTTCTGTAGACGACCCCCAAGACGCAGAAGTAGCAAAAATGTACAAAGAGAACTATTCCCTGTTCTTAAAAACAGCCAGGTTTTTTGCACATTAAATATCGACCCTCCCCCATTAGGAAGGGAGTGCATCTCCAGAGTGTATCTTTCCTATGATTATTTCCTCCCCAGCGAGTACTGTTTTATTACGAATTTTTTTTTTTTTTTTTTTTTTCGTTTCCCCCCTTCAGTATGTGGACGAAGACTTTTGCCACTCGACCGAAACTCGAGCCAAGAGAAGTCATTGTAATACGCGGCAGCAAAACGGAAGATGCCATTTTGAGCGCGGATTTTTTAGTACATTGAATGAGATAAATATAGGATATCTCATTTTTTTTTTTCTTTTTTTTTTTCCTCCCATTCAGATTAAGAAGATCACCGAAATGGGATTTACGGAGGACCAGGCCAAGGTCCTTAGGAAACCACCAGCTCGTGCATGCATACGGCGTGTTTGCCAAATGTGCAGCATGATGATAGACACAAGAGAGCACGCAAATATACTTGCCTCCTGCACCGCCATAAAGAATATATAAACATTGTGGAAAAAGTTCCCCCGTACTCTTTCCCTCATTGCGAATCTCTCCCCCCCTTTTTTTTCTCTCTCTTCATTTTACCTTTGCAGAAAGCCTTAATAAATGCCGATTGGAATGAAACCCTGGCGCTAAACACCCTCCTCGAAAATTCATAATTTGGACACGTAAAAAATCGTGCACACAGTACGGTTTAGTAAAATGTAACATGTTTATGTATAAATAGTATTAAATTAACCACGTTGTTAATTTTCTTTTTTTTTTTTTTTTAATTCAAATATGATAATTTGACTGCTATTGCATTTTTAAGCCATAATTTTTTGTGTACAGATATTACAACGCCTTTTTAATAAGGCTATTTTTTTTTTCCCTCTGATAAATTTGTTTAAAAAATTTCCTCTTTAAAGAAGATTAAGTATACTGTAAAAAGAAATGAACGACAACACATTGTGATAAAAAAAAAGAGGCACACACATCATTTGTGTGTACACACGACATATGCGCATTTTTCGGAGGAGAATAACCAAATGCCAATCTTCTAATTTTTTCCAATTAAGAAGCACCGTTTGTTATGCAAAGGTGGACCTTCTCGTGACCCCTTTTTCACTTCATGATAATGTGGCACATGTCGCCTTCTTCATCGCCTTCTTAAGGGTACTTTTTTTCTTTTCCCGTGACTGATTGTGCTATCATCTATAATGACATAGGACAATTCGTTACGACTTCCTGTTCATGGGGTCTCTCTTGGGTTTTTGAGTCCCCATTTTGCGCCCACCATTATGTGCCCGCGGTGTGTAGTTGGCTAGAAGCGTCTGGACCCGAAGCACGTCGAAAACTACACGTCAGGCTACTGGAAAGGATATGCGATTGTGCAGGAGGTGTTGAAGGTGGAGCGACGTTCCGTCATATTACCCCTTCCTGCTTCCTTCCCGTTTAGTCCTCACTGCGTCTGTCCACTTTAAGGCGAACAAAAAGGTGTACACGTAGCATGCCTATTTTAACATTGCGAAACAAGCGTGTACACATTTGTGTAGCGGCTGCAAAGAACACATAACTTTCTTCCTTGGCATTTGCCAGAGGGGTAATTTTTAATTTGCCAATTTTACGGTGAAGATTTTAATCGCGAAAATTTACCGTGTCACAATTGTGTACTTGTTTTAATTTTTTTACCAGATGAATTTTCTCCTTTTTCCAATTTTTCTTTCTTAAAAAATGTGAAGGCCTTTTTAAGGCAAGCAGCGAACACTCCAATTTTCGTCCCTTGGCAGAGAAGAAATCACCGCGTGATTGCTCTCCCAGGGGATGTGAAAAACTGGGAACGCGACTAAGTAGTGCTGGCCTATGCATGTAGATTGTTCGACCAAAGGTAAGCACTTTTTTTTTTTTTTTTCCATTTCCTCTTTTATTATGGCCCCACGTGGTGAGCTTCCCCTACACGTCCGTATGCATGCAGTGGGAACATACTCCTTTTATCCACGCGCGGGTACTCTGAAGGCTCCCGTATGACCAAAGAGGAAGGAACACCTTAACATCGTACACGCTTGCACACAATTTCTTTCACCTCTTAGTTACTCCTTCTTAGTCGTATGAGAGAGGCCTCTTCTATTTTTTAATCCATTTCGAGTTAGAAAAATTTGGCTCTTTTCGATTCCGGGTGGAGCACCCAGGGGAAGGCCAAACGTGTGCACGAAAAGACGAATTGATAAAACTGTTAAGGAACTACATCCTTGTGTATTTATTTTTTTTCTTTTATGAGGATCTAGTTTGAAAGTTGAAGGGGAGTTTTTGCCTTCATAACGAAAGTGTGGAAGTGAGGCGTCCATCAGAATGTAGCACCACAACCCCCTTTTTAGCATCTTCGCTGTTACTCCGTGTGCCAGGCGAGCGAAAAGGAAGAAGAAAGGAATCATCACCAGGAACACTCCTTCCCTTCGTTGTAGGTCTAGCATTAGAGATACACGAGAAAGGCATAAAACAGAATTGCTCTTCTCCCCGTACAAGGGGAAGAAAAAAAAGAAGAAAAAAAACTCCATAGGTGTATATATATATATACACGTACACTCCAATGGGGAAGTGAATAAATGGATCCCCAAGCATGAACCTACCTTCGTGTAAACTCCATCCTCACTTATTTTTCCTATTCGACTGGGCGATTAAGCGGTCCACACTCGAAAAGACTAATTTGGGGCAAGTCAAAATTGACAGTAGTAGCGTGGACGCGAGGGAGAAAGTACCCCGTAGGAACAACCAGACGTAGCGTACATAACAACGGAAGGGCGAAAAGAAAGGGCAAAAAGGAAAAACAAAACGGACCGACAAAATGAAACGGGCCGAATTCATAGCAAACGCGACGAGGAAAAATGAGAAGGCGAATATTCACGCAAAGAATTTTATACCCTCAGGATCGGAAAAATCAGAAATGAAAGATTGCAATTTTTTCCCCCATTTATTTCTAAAGGGGGAATTAATGAGACAGTTTTTGATGGACGAAGATGTGTGGCTATTTATACAAAATTTTAAGATGAAATTAAAAGAAAGTCCCAACGATGTTGACAGCTGGTTAGATTATCAGTTACAATTAGCGAGAAACAATATGGGGCATTTATTCCACTCGGACATCCCCCCATTTGAGCACGTAAAAAAGAACAGCGAAAGTTTTACTTCAAAAACGGATTACGAGGTGGATACGAATTATGGTAATCTTAATGAGCTTGCCAAGCGGAATGATTTTTCTGAACAGTGTGGGAGAAGTACCTGTGATGATTTGGAGCAACTGGACCGACCAACTCCCCGCATGAGAGAGAGAGACGAATCCGATGAGGATGATAAAAAGGTTGAAGAGAAAAAAAATGATGAAGGGCACAAAAAGGATGAACAGCACAAAAAGGATGAAGAGCACAAAAATGATGAGAAGGAGGTAGACAAGACAACCTCTGCCGGATTAGGAACACGAGGAACAAGCAGAGTCGGCATAAATGACATCCTAATGAGGAGGATGTCTCAAAGCGAAAAGGGGGGCCAAGGAAGTAGAAGCCTCCAGGTGGGGTATAGTACTTCCACACTGAAAGATGACCCTCATTTGGGGGAGAGCCGAAGTCGAGCTGGATCGAGGCACACCAGCAGTGGGACTACACAAAGGAGGATCAGTGGAGTCCGAAGTGATCTCCAGTTTAGCAGCGAACAGAATGATCACACCGATGTTTTTCCCACGGAGGAAAATTCGAAACCCTACCACAAAGGTGAAGACATCATCATAAAAAAGCGGAATGATGGTAGAGAAGAAACCAAAGTAGCTAAAAACAATTACACTGGTGTGGACAAGGAGGAGCACCATGAAATTATGGGAAGGATCCATCAACCCAGGGAGAGAAACAATTTTGAGGATGAAGTCTTTAGCCCCCAAAGGAAGGCAGTAATGAGGGAGAGATATGAAATGTCCACTATCCCTACGCAGTGTAGTGAGAAGGACGATCTGATGATTACGTTTAGGGAAACTCCACATAGGAAGGATGGCGCACATTGTAAGGCAGACAATGATTATGTTCGCGGTGGTATAGCGAAAGGGGGGCTCCCCCAGGAGGAAACTCCCCTCAAGGAGGATGAGCCTGGGGATAGAAACGGGAAACGTCGCATCTGGGGAAAACATCGCCCTGGAGGGATCTACTCCCCCGTTGAGGAACCCCTCCAAGGGGAAGAACAGTTAAGCCACGCGGTGCGGATGAAGGCGGCACCTGACAATGGGGCACCTAACAAAGGGGCGACCAACCAGGTCATGTCAGACCAACGGAACGAAACGCAGCAGAGAGCAGCATCTCTGATTGCGAGCAAAATTCCAACGGAGGAGAGCCTCCTCCCAAAGAGAAGCAAGCTGTTAGAACAGCCTCTACAAGGGGAGAAACAAGGCGAAAGGGAGCCCACCACATATAACCCGCCACGTGACAACAAATTGTGGGAAGAAAATCAACCGGAGGTGCCCATTGTGATACCCCAAATGATAGTAACGATTGACGAGATGATGAACGAAGAGACTGACAAAAAATTAGAAAAAATATTCAACCAATGTGATGATAATAAAATGAATTTAGATTTATTCGAGAGGCTACTCGTAGTCGACTTTCTAAAAATTGGAAGATATATGAGTCACACATTGTATTCTCGCATTGAGAAAGTAGATGACAATTTTGTCACATGTGAAGAGGTAAGGAAGTACTTCCGCAATCGTTTTATTGATGGGACGAAGGATCCAAGTTACTACGACGATAGTAGGTATAGGAGTTCATTTGAAAGGGCCAGACAGGGAAGCGTAAAAACCGCCCTTCACGTGGTTACTCCATCGGATGGAGGTGTAGAAGAAGACTCTTTGAATGCAATTTCTCATTTGCAAAATGAGGGAACCCGTTTAGACGGCGACGAAGAGGCACTCCACGTGAATGATGGAGGGTGTAGCCAAAAGGGGGGAGAGCTTGTAGAAGACGTACCATATAAGAAGTGCTCCATTGTAAACTTCTTCAATGCAGTTAAGGACCAAAATAGGGACTACATCGAGTTTAAAGATTTTGATGCCTTCGTAAGAGAAATTCTAAAGAGAAACACATCTTTGCAGTTTCTACATGAGCACGTAGAGTTTCTAGAAAGATACATAGAATCGGTCATCGTGCGGATATATTATCATATAGATGTGAATGACACTAATAGGATATATTTGAAAGACTTGAGGAGACACAACTTAGCTCACATTTGGTGTTGCCTCGATGATAATATCAAAGTGCAGCACGTGAAAAACTACTTTAGCTATTCGCACTTCTATGTTTACTATTGCACCTTCTGCCAAACGAGCAGCTGCAAAGATATGCTCATTGATGACAACGATTTGTACCGATTCGATAACCATTCGCTTAACGATTTTATAGTAAATAGAATTTGGTCTAGGATTTCCATCAAATTAGGAGGACCAAATGAGAAGTATATGTGTCTAAATGACTGGATTTATTTTATTATGAATTATGAAGACATGACAAGCAATAGGGCCATTGAGTTCTGGTTTAAATTAATCGACTTGGATGCGGATTGTGTCATTAGGGATCACGAAATTCAGGTTTTTTTTAATATCCAAATGGAGAGATTGAAATCGCATTATTTAGAGGAACCTAAATTTGAAGACTGGCTATGCCAGATGAATGATGCCATTCAGCCAAAGAATGAAGGCAATTTTACCCTGTCCGATTTTAAACGGAATAAGAAATATGCCGCCAGATTTTTCGGTTGCTTGGTTAGCTTGTCCAAGTTACTAGCTTGGGAGAGCAGGGATGTCTACAAAGAGTTGCAGATCGAGACGGAGTTTCCCCACGCAACTCCCTGGGAGATTTTCTGCAAGACGAAGTACGACGAGTTGTGCTACATGGAGAATGAAGGCTCCTATGAGGACAATTTTGACGCCTACGAGGCGAAGGCCTTCTACGGCTTAGACTCCGACTGAGGGGTATAGCAGTGGGATTAGCGGTGGTGTTAGCGGTCTCCGCTGCTGTTTCAGCCCTAGTGGCCTCCCCTGTCTGCGTTGACTACCCTCTCATCTGCTTCTCCTCGTGCCTTTATTCTTCGCGTCTCTTTGTGTCGTCCATGTGTACCTATATAACACATGGTCGCCAGACGCACAACCGTGCTGAGATGCTCTCCCTGTCAGGATTAACCAACAGGGGGTGGACCCTTGACCATATGTATCAAGGGGGGGAGATCTCCAAAAGTAGGAAATCTTTTTAACAGCTATAGGCAAGGCAAACCACGCGCGAGATCAAAAACAGTGTCTGTGGGGAGTACCAAATTTGGGCAACATAACCGGGCCGAAAAAAAAAAAAAAAAAAAAAAAAAAAAAGGGAACAAAGCAGTTCTGCCTTTTTTTTGTTTTGCGGAAGGAAGCAATCTTATCAGAATGCCCATAATAAGGAACCGTTCACAGAAAAAAACTTCACAATTTTTTTACCTTTTCAAACGGAAGCTGATGCTGCTGGTACTGGAATTAGATGCGTCCGGACAAGTCCCTTTCAGATTCTAAAACAAATAATTAATGTGTAAAGCATATTTTGTGGTGTTTTTTTTTTTTTTATATCCACTTTGCATTTTTTCAGTTGTGCATATGCACCATAAAGAAATGCGCATTCATAATTAATTCGCATCCCCCTCTGATGATTCTTCATTTGAACATATGAGCACCTTTAAATCTGCGCGTGATGTTGTTTTTATCTTTGTCCTTATCAAGTTATGTCACCCAGTGTCCACACTTTTGAGCAATTAATTTTTTTTTTTTTTCTGGAAGCCAGCTCCATGACTTCCTCATTTGGAGAAGGTAAATTTGGACGTGCGTGTATCCCCCGCGTCACTTCATTGCACACTGCATTGTTTTATTTTTCTGTATACACGTATTTATGTGTTTATCCATTAATAAGTATTTCCACTTCTTTTATTATTTTTTTTAGCATCTTTTTACCATTTTTTTAACAATTTTATTACCATTTGTTTACGACTTTTTTTAAGTTTTAATTATCCCTCCATGATTCCTCTGCAAAGACTAAAAGTGCGGCACATTTTCTGTGTTTTTTTAAGCAGATAACCTATGTCGCATGTTCCTTTACCGTTAGACAGCGAAACGTAACGCGAGTGCGTCTTTATCCATGCGGAGGACCATTTTTGCCACTTTTTTTTTTAAAACACCACTCCCTGGGGGCGAACTGAAGGGGAGCGGTGGCATTGATGTTGGAAGCCGCGTCCTTATAGGAAACCGCGTCCGTATATGAAGTCGCATCCGTATATGAAGCCGCATCCATATATGAAGCCACATCCATATATGAAGCCACATCCATATATGAAGCCACATCCCCATAGCAAGCCACATTGGAAAAGGGCGGTACGAACGGAGCAGTGCGCGTAAAAAGAAAAACGGCGACCAAAATAATGTGTATACGCATGAGGAAACTTACAGGGTTGAATGAAAAAATCCGAGGATCGCTATTTCGAAGAAAGATTAGCGGGCCCACTCCGCTGTACAAAACCCCCCTCAGATACATTTGGTTCATTTTTTTCTACATAGACATATTCCTCTTATATGTGTTCACCTTTTCGTGTTTTTTCTCCATACTTCTGGGCCAAGAATGCTTTGAAATATTTCCAATCCTTTTTTTTACCGCGGCAAATTTGGGTAATTCTTTTCTGTCTGCGCGTCGGACGAAGGGGAGTGTGCATTTCTTCCAGGTATACGCGGCTGATATGCAACTTTTTTTTTTTTTTTTCACCCTTCTCAGTTTCGAGTTTCCTTATTGACTTTTTTTTTATGCTAATAAAGGGAGAAGAAGTTGTGAGCGAAGATGAAATTATCGTATCGACCTTTTTGACAATAACGTTATGTATCCTTAAGGTTGCTACGAACGTTTGCACATTTTATTTCTCTCTTATTGTGTCGGGGAAAATCATAGAGTCCACGGATGTCCATATGAAGCAAAGGTGCCATACGTCTGCCGCAAAATGGCTGCTACTAAATTGTCTAATTATAAACTCCTTTTCGTTTCTCGAAACTTATATTGAAACCATTTTGACCTTTTTCTCGATAGTTCATTTTAAGAGGCAGGTGCAGAATTACGAGACGATCGTTTAGGCTGTGCAAATGGGGGAGTATCCCCCCGATCAAGCAGCTTTATTGACATGCACCTTCGAAGAGTAAGCCTAATCGATCATTTTACGAGTTATAGATTCTCCCCCCTCCACCCCGTAATTGAATTGACTTTACCCTATTCTGTACTTGCCACTTTGCTAAACGGGAGCACCCCCTGTGCGTGGTAAATTGCACAAACGATATTTGTAAAAATGTGTGCTAGCCAAAAATTGCCAGTGATTTTATTTTATTATTTTTTTCTTTTACGTGTGCTTCGTTACATGTAGCTATTGCTATCAACGGATTTAGTGTTCACCCGTTTGAAAAAAAAAACCTCACAAAAACGTCATAAAAAATACGCCAAAAGGATGTCATAACAACGCATCAAAAAATGTCATAACAACGCGTCAAAAAGACGCCACATAGACGCGCCATTAAACATGCGCGCGAAAAACAAAAACAAACGCCCGCGTTACGCTCGTTTCACATTTAAAAAATAAATTAACCACAAAAAATGCGCAACGTGGACAAAAAATATGCAATTAAAAAGGCCATTTCGAGTGAAACAATTAGCTAATTAGCCCACCACGCGTTTACACGCGAGAAGCGCGCGCTGTGGAATGGTAGGGAGAATGGACGCTAACGCAGAAACCTAGTAGGCAGCGCGCGTCCTTGAAGAGGCAAATTATTTAAACCTGCTAGGTGTACATCTCGGGGGAGGATTCAGGTGGTGACAGAAAAAAAAAAATGGGGAGAGGGAGCACATCCTGGGGAAGATGCACACCCCCCTGCGGCCGCCGCGCATCCGGCAGATAGGGAACTGTTATGAACAGCCCCCCAAAAAAAAAGTAGCGAACAAACAAAAGGAAAGTACACTCCGCTTTTGCAAAGACGCATGCGCTGCTTGGAAACGGATGCTCGTTCGGGTGTTATATATAACCACGATTAGGCGTCCTCCCTCCGTGTAGACGTCTCCCTTGCCTTCTCACCCCCCCCCTCTCTGTGGCGGCTACGTCGACACGTAGGCGCTCTCGTCCTGTGCAGAGTAAAACGTCTTATCAGAATACTGGTCTCCCTGCTTGGTATATTCGCACGTCTCCCCTCCGACAACTACAATGGTGAAGTCGTCACCCAAATAAGCATTGGTAACTTTCTGGTGCAGCATAGAATAAATTAACGTGGCTTTGTTAAACTTCTGCTTCAGCCCCGACTGAATGGAAATGCCTGGCTGGACATTTTGATTTAATAGAAAGTCCGAACTAGCAGTAAAGATTAATTTGTGGTGCGCAGAATGTCCCCACATGTAGAGCTGATTAAATTTGTTGATACATGCCGAGTGTCTTTCTCCACAGAAAACCTTTTTCGCCTTTTGATTATTTTCATGTAACTCGACAAATTTAGGGGTAGTTACAATATTTTGGAAACCGGAAATCCCGCACTGGCCTGAAATTTTATCACCAAAAGACCACACATGTTCATCTTCTGTTATTAGCAGCACGTGCCTAGCTCCTGCACTGACTTTATTGATATTTGGCAACTTCTTATTATTAGCATCCCTTAGGATGAGCGGTTCGGGGTATATAAAATAGCACCCACCCTCATCATCAAAGGATCTTCTGCATAGCTCTCCATATGTACCATCTCCCCATCCGTATAACTCTCCATTGAGAAGAAGTAAGATGCCAAAATTCTTCCCCATAGCTATCTGCTTAATTTTGTTACCCTCAAATTTGTAAAAAAAGGTTGGAACATATTTCAAATAATTATTGTACGTTTCGCCCCATATGTACATGGAAGTATTGCCATCACAGACAGCTATACTTTGGTTATATTTTGCGTAAATTTGTGTGCAAATTTTTTTTTTCTTTTCACACCTTTCGTAGTCAGTGATTAAATGGGATAGAGCATTCAGCGTAGTTTCAATCACATCCCCATAATCAATTATGCTCAAAATGGTTGGTTCGTATTTATCCATGTTGCATTTTAAGCCATTATAATTGCCATGTCCCCATGCGTAGAGAACATTGTCGTTGGATAAGCAGAGGGAGTGATTATACCCACAGGCTATCTGTTTGATCTGATTGACTGACTCGATTAGGGTTGGCTGGATGCTGTACACGATTAAATTTCCCTGGCCTAATTCTCCATGTAGCCCCTTTCCAAAGGAATACATATTTCCTGTGTTGCTCAAAAATAGTGCACATGATTTGTTGCAACTAATTTCTTTAATTTTGACGTTGTACAACTCGGTGTATATCGTTGGCAAGTGTTCTGGCGTGTCGTCGTTTTCGTTTATCACTCTCTTTCCCCAGTAGTAAATGATGGTCCTTTTGTCTTCATATTTAGGTAGCCTTTTAATGAAGTCCGACGAGATGATGGCTTTTGTCACTAGCTTTGGCTGCGACACGTTTTCTTCTTTCGACTTTCGTATTTTGAACAAGTTTGGCATTTTATACGACGCACGGGGGAGGGGCGGGAAATAAATGTGTGCTTTTGGCGGTGTGCCTGTCGGTGTATATCTCCACGTGTGTTTACCTGTATGTATGCATATCTTTACGTGTGCATATCTGTACGTATGTGTAATTGTACGTGTGCGTGGGGAGACACCCCGTTCTGCTTGTTACTGTTTTTTTTTTTTCTTTTTGTCGCGCCACCGACAGGGACATACCTACGCAGTGGCGCAAAATTACGCATAAAGCAAAATCATCACATTGGATGGTACCATCCCGTATGGTGATACACAATGGAGCAAGAAAAAAATAATTTACCCCTGTATACACATTTACACAAAACGGGAAAAAAGAAAAAAAAAAAAGCGAAATTGAACAGGCGTCCGA